GAGATCGCGCCATGGCACTCCAGCCTGGGTAACATGAGTGAAACTCCGTCTCAAAAAAAAAATCTATCAGCCAATGAACCCCACTTCTATCTGTAGTCCAGCACTCTCCCTCAAACATAGAAGGTGAGTCCTGCCCTCCAAACTCCAATGGCTCACTCCACTAGGTGTCTAACAGGCAATTCACATTTAACAAATCTGAAACTGACCCCCTGACCCTCCCCACAGCCCCCTCCATCTAGGCCTAGTGATTATGCTATCCTTCCCGTTTCTCCAGCCAAAAACCTAGTCTCTTCTCTTTCTCTGACATGCTATGTCCTATCCAGCAGTTGTTCCTGATTTCAAAGTGTGTTCAGAATCTGAACTCCCACCACCACCCATTTGGACCATTCTCAACATCAGTTGTCTCCTACATAGACTTTCTGCTTCTTCATGGTCAATTTCCAACCCAGCAGCCTGAGCCATTTTTAAAGATTCTACTTAAAACCTGCAATGATGGGAGCCTGGCATAGTGGCTCACACCTGTAATCCCAGCACTTAGTGGCTCACGCCCATAATCCCAGCACTTTGGGAGTCCAAGCCAGGAGGATGGCTTGAGCCTAGGAGTTTGAGACCAGCCTGAGCAACATGGGGAAATCCTGTCTCTACTAAAAATACAAAAAATTAGCCAGGCATGATGGTGTGTGCCTGTAGTCTCAGCTACTCAGGAAGCTGAGGTGGGAGAAGTGCTTGAACCCAGGAGGTGGAGGTTGCAGTGAGCTGAGATTGCACCACTGCACTCCAGCCTGGGCAACAGAAGGAGACTCTGTCTCAAAAAATAAAATAAAATAAAATAATAAATAAATACATGTACAGATAGAAAACATATCTCTATTGATTTTTCAGATAATAGAATTTATATATGTATGTTGTCAAAAATTTAAATATATGCAGTAGAACTACTGTTAACTATTGGGTGTGTATTTGGTCCGTGTTTTTCCCCTGTGAACACAAACAAACGTGGCACTGACACCCTGAGCAAAGGGGACCCAGCATTCGGGCAGAGACAGCTGCATCCTTCTCCACCCACCCACTCCCCCTTGGGCCAAGCCGTTCCCAGGCCTGGATAAAACATGAACAGGCATTATGACTCCGCA